ATTATATATATAATGTTCTATTTGTTACAACATATATATGCATGCACACACACACACACACACATACCACACACACACCAAGATTTATAGAAAGACGGCAGCTCCGACCACACTTTTAAGCCGAAAATATTATGTGTGTGTGTGTGTGTGTGCATGCATATATATGTTGTAACAAATAGAACATTATATATATAATCTATATGTGTGTGTATGAATTTATTCATTTCTTCTTGCATATTATTATTGAATTATTGGTACCTTCTGAAGGTTTGCAAGGAAATGTTTTGATTTTGTAATTTCTCTTCTTTACCAGAAAGGCTGGGATAGCTACATGGTATATTTATTTGATAAGAGCAAAACTACCTATGAAGGCCCTTTTGCTTCTAGGACGCTTTCTGACTGCGTAAATTATATTGGTAAGTTTGTCTCAGTTTAGTAATAATTATTAGTTATTCTAAGATTTGGCTACAGCGTATTTAGGAAAAACATTCTGCAATCACCTTTGAGTCCTTATCAAAATATCAAAGTATAAAAAATACTAGCACTAAATCAGTCAGAAGAAGCTTCCTCCTGCCCCATTCCTCATTTTCTTTGACTTTGTAAATAATTATGTGCAAATTGTAAATATTGAATTCAAAATGGCAAAAATATGTCATGTTCAACTCGGTGATCAGCAGGGATTGTGTCAACTTTGGTTCCATCACGAATATTCTTAAATTCAGTGCCTGCCTCCCTCCTTTCTTTCCCTTTTTATAACTTGCAGTTTTTACTAATGAGGATGGCCGTTTTTTCCTCTCTCAGTGAAGGACAGCAAAATCCAGCTGCCCGTTTTCCAGCTTCGGAAGATCTGGGCTGAAGCCGTCCACTACGTCATCGGCCTGAAGGAAGACTACAGCCGCCTCTTCCAGGGCCAGAGAGCCGCCATGTAAGTCCCGGGGGCCCCTGGGGAAGGAGCGCAGCGAAGGTGCGAAGGGCTCGGACGAAGCAGGGCTGCGGGGCCCGATTAGCAGCCCTTCCACACCTTCCTGTGGCCCCCAGTGGTAGGTAGGGGCGTCCATTGGGGAGTCCCAAATAGCATTGTAGCACTTAGACTTATATACCGCTTCACAGTGCTTTACCGCCCCCTCTAAGAGATTTACAAAGTCATCATATTGCCCCCGACAATCTGGGTCCTCATTTTACCAACCTCGGAAGGATGGAAGGCTGTGTCCACCTTGAGCCCCATCAGGATCGAACTCCAAGCTGTGGGCAAAGTTAGCCTACAATACTGCATTCTGATCACTGCACCCCCAGGGCTCCCAGCATTAGCAGTAGCCCTTAGACTTATATAACGCTTCACAGTGCTTTACAGCCCTCTCTAAGCGGTTTACAGAGTCAGCCTCTCACCCCCAACAATCTGGGTCCTCATTTTACCAACCTCGGAAGGATGGAAGGCTGTGTCCACCTTGAGCCCCATCAGGATCGAACTCCAAGCTGTGGGCAAAGTTAGCCTACAATACTGCATTCTGATCACTGCACCCCCAGGGCTCCCAGCATTAGCAGTAGCCCTTAGACTTATATAACGCTTCACAGTGCTTTACAGCCCTCTCTAAGCGGTTTACAGAGTCAGCCTCTCACCCCCAACAATCTGGGTCCTTATTTGACCCAACTTGGAAGGGCGGAGTCCAACTTGACGGGTCAGGATCGAACTTCCTGGCTGTGGGCAGAGTTTAACCCTCAATGCTGAGGGTTAACCCTAAGAGCCGAGGTGGCGCAGTGGTTAAATGCAGCACTGCAGGCTACTTCAGCTGACTGCAGTTCGGCTGTTCAAATCT